GAGTAGATAGTTCTGTTTTATGTAGCAGCATCATTCTGGCTATTAGGTACAGAATGGAAGAGTAAGAGGACTTAGGCAGGCAAGATTTCATGTTGGCCCCTATGCCTTGGAGGTAACAGTGGAATAAAGAAATGAACTGACTGACAGAAAGTAAGGAAACAGAACGGGTATGAGTTTAATGAACTAATGGAGAAAACAAACATACTAAACTGTCCTAACAAGGAGTATAGAAACTTAAATTTCTTAAAGAAACATAAAGTTCTCCTCTTTTGCAGACCACAACACCCAAAAGGAGAGAGAGAACACAGGGGATTGCCCTGCCACAGAGGCAGGGGGGGATGGGGGGATGGGGGTGGGGGGGATATTATCCATGGTGGTGGAAAATGGGCACTGGTGGAGGGATGGGTATCTGATCATTGTATAATCGAAACCCAAGCACAAAAAATTGTAAATCTACAACTGTACCTCATGGTATTTCACTAATAAAAAAAATTTTTTTTAAAATAATAAAAAAAAACATTAAATATGAAAGGCCAAAAAAAAAGAAACATAAAGTTCTTCTCATCATATATTACTTCTACATGTATATTAATATATTTTTGTACAGAAATATCACTATTTTACTATCATTATAGGGTACTAATAGAGAAGACGTTGTATTAGTGTAGTTATTGGTCACTTGATCACTTGATCACTTGACTTTCTGTTAATCATCGATTTGCTCGAGCAGGCGCCAGTCACGTCTCCATTTGTCCCTGTTGCGTACTAGTGTAGCCCAATGGCGTGTGTTCACTCTAGGAATACGAAGAGTCTCAAACCGATCGTTCATGATCCTGATGAAGAAGTCTGACCATGTGGTAGGTGGGCAGCCACACGGTCTTTTGACATCCCTGGAATCCTGTCAGTAACAGCTCTAGTCCAGCGGTCGTCTTTAAATCTCATTACGTGACAAGCCCATCTGATTTTTGACACCCTGGCAAACGAGACAGCATCCTTGATTCTTGATTGTTGACGGACGTCAGAACTCTGGATTCTTTCTCTCATTTGAGTGAAACGTGATATTCCAAGCATAGCTCTTTCAATTCCTCTTTGGGAGACCCGAATAGCGTTCTCATCCTGTTTGCCTTAGGGCCCAGGTCTCTGAGGCACATGTTAATGCAGGAAGAACAGTGGAATCAAAGAGATGTGCCCGGAGCCAGAGGTTCTTAGTCCTCTTAGCTATTTCTTCGACTCTCTTGAAGGCGTTCCAAGCCGCTCTCTTCCTCCTGCGCAGCTCAGGTGCCAGGTCATTTGTCATGTTGACTTCTCAACCTAGGTACACATAGCTGTTGCATTTGGAGATGGTCGTTCTGTTGAGAGTGAATGGGGTGTCAGGAACGAGGCTGTTTCTCATAAACATTGTCTTCGTAAGATTCAGCTGTAGTCCTACCTTTCCACACTCACGGTCAAAGTCGGCCAGCATTTGCGCCGCTTGGCTGATGTTTGCTGTTATTAAAACAATGCCATCAGCAAAGCGGAGGTGGTGTAGTTGCCAACCATCTATCTTCACACCTATTCCTTCCCATTCCAGTCGTCACATGATGTTCTCGAGGGTGGCACTGAAGAGTTTCGGTGAAATGGTATTACCCTGCCGAACCCCTCTCTTGACAACAATGATTACTTCCTTGTAGAATGGTGAGATCCTGGTAGTGAATCCGCAATACAGCTCATGGAGGATCTTGATGTATTGAGCTTGAATGCCCTGATTGCCTAAGGCTTCAATGACCGCTTCCATCTCAACAGAATCAAAGGCCTTCTTTAAATCAATGAACGTTAGACAGAGTGGCATCTTGAACTCCCGAGAAACCTCAATGAGCTTGGTTATCATGTGGATATGGTAGATGGTGCTGAATCCTTTTCAGAACCCAGCTTGCTCGCATGGTTGTCCTTCATCTAGTGTTCTGCCAATCCTATTTAGGATGACTCGAGTGAACAACTTGTAGATGACAGACAATAGGCAGATCGGGCGATAGTTGCCAATGTCATGGATGTCTCCCTTCTTGAAGAGTAGTACAGTCCTGCTGGTTTTCCATTGGGATGGAACCTTGCATTTAGAGAGGTAGCGTGTGAAGAGCCAAGCCAGTGTATTGATGAATACTGATGAGCGGGTTCTTCAGGTGTTCAGGTCTGACCTTGTCTGGGCTGGGTGCTGTTTGTTTCTTTACTGACAAAATGGCGTGTCGGATTTCGGAAGGGAGAACATTGGGAACAACATATCCATCCTGTGGAATTTGGTATGTCGGCAAGTGGACATGGCTATTGAAGAGATTTGAGTAGAAGTCATGGATAATCTTCTCCATTGCTGTTCTGGAGGATGTGATAGATCCATCAGGACGTTGGAGGGCAGTCATCTTGGTCCTGTAGTTGGCGAAGGACAGGCGGGCATTACGAATACTTTTCCCGGCTTCTGCCACATCTACCAGCAGTTCTGCTCTTCTCTCTTTGAGGTCTTCCTTGATCGCATCTCTGCACTGCTTTGCGAGCTTGGATGTTCACTTGCAGTTGCCTGAGGCTTGTGCCAAGCCACATGGGCAAATAAGCTCAAGAGTTTTCAAAGACAGGCAGTTTTTTGTGGCTATCTCTCTCTTGGCATTCCTCGCACAATCATGGAGGTGCTGACCCAGTCGATCGTATTCCTCGTCAAAGTTGTCAACAATGGCATCTTGCCATGTTGCCACAATAGTGCCAAAGAGCTCCCAGTTGGTGGTCATTCTGGGAGTTCTCTTTTTAAACTTTGCAGCCCTTTCTCCCCGCTCTGTGAAGTAGAATTTTGCACGAAGGATACGGTGGTCCGATCCCATTCAGAATTTTGGGACAACAGCGACATTGGTCAGACAAAACCGTCGGTTGAATATGATGTGGTCTATTTTGTTGTGGAATCGTCCACCGGGAGACTCCCATGTCCAACATTTAGATTCGGCCTTCTGGAACTGTGAGTTACCATGGATGGTCTTGGTCTTGGTCGACACGATGAACTCAGACAGTCTCTCACCCTGTTCGTTCCATTCTAGGCCATGGGTCCCGATGTGAAGTTCTTCAGCTGATCTTCTCGGTTCTTTCTTGGCATTAAAATTACCCACAATGATCTGTAGAAGGCGTGGTCTTCTTTATTTATTGGTAATTATTGGTATAACTTACTTTACCTTTGGGCTGGAGCGACAGCACACTGAGTAGGGTGTTTGCCTTATATGTGGCTGAGCCGGGGTCGATTCTTCCGCCCCTCTCAGAGAGATAGGCAAGCTACCGATAGTATCTCGCATGCATGGCAAAGCCTGGCAAGCTCCCCATGATGTATTCCATATGCCAAAACCAGTAACAACAAGTCTCACAACAGAGATGTTGCCTTCTTGAGCAAATAGATGAACAATGGGAGGATAGTGCTACAGTGCTTACTTCACCTTTATAAAAATCTTCATTTGCCCCCTCAGATTCTAATAAGGAAATCCAAGTGGGAAATTTCCCACTTTAATTTTCAACTTAAAAATTGGTTGTGATCAGGCTGGAAAGAATATAGCAGGTAAAGTACTTGAATTGTGTGACCAACCCACACTTGATCCATAACAACACACAGGGTTCCCTGAGCACTGTGAAAAGTGATTACTGAGTATACAGCAAGGTCACTCCTTGCCTGCGCATAGCTGAAAGTGTGCCATCACACACCCCCAGAAAAGAATAGTTGAGATCATGCTGATAAAAAGCTCTGTTAGATTGTATAAATTTGTGTTTCTATATGGAAGACAGAAAGTGGATAAATTGGATATTTTTGATTGTGAATAAAAGGTCTTGCAGTTACAAATGTGTGTGCCTGAATGGGTATGTGTGTATGTGTGTTTTAACTGCTGACCTCTCGACATGCATCAGAGAAGATAGAAATGTTCATTTTCAAGGAGCTTTTGCACCACTGTAGACAGACTGCTGCAAGACTTAAACTCATGTACCTGTCCCCCTGGGGACTGATACTTGTTTCTAACAACTTGTCTGCCAGAATGAGCCAAGAGCATCAAAGGAATCCCAGACCTCCATGCACAGCTATCAATATTCAATCTTTTTTTCCCTTTTTAATTTTAACTGCTTCCACAGTAGATGTGGACACAACAAATAAATGATGCATAATCCCAAACTATTTTTAAGGAAGATGGGAGTAAAGAGAATATCGATTTGTAGCATTAAAAAGAGAAGAAAAGCGGGCATATTTTGAGTGCAAGGTTTGTTTTTAACATATGGAAAAGAGAGAGAAAATCATGCCTAGGGGAAACTGATTTTATAGGTGAAATTTGGAGAGTTTGGCAAAAAAGAATCAAAGCACATTTTCCTGGGACTGGAGAGTTGGTAGAGCTGTAGTGTGCTTGCCTTGCACACAGTGGACCTGATTTCAATCCCCAGCATCCATCCCATATGGTTCTCCCAATCTCACCAGGAGTGCTTCCTGAATGCAGAGTCAGGAGTAAACCCTGAGCACTCCTCAGTGTGCTCCCTCCAAAAAAAAAAAGCACAACTATAAAACAATAAAACACATCTTCTTGTAATGAAATGCCCACATATGTCTCTTAAAAGGCCATACCAAAAAACTTGCCTTACTATATTATCAAGGAATTGCTTGATTTATGCGCTCATTTTATTTTTTTGAAAGACTGAGTTCAAGGCACATATGCTGCCTGAGCCCATGTGTGCCTACATCTCCCCTGTTGAGATGTGTACTTCCATGCTCTCATGTCTTATGCTGGGATGCTTCTCCTACCCTTGGAGAAGCCCAGGTTCTCTCTTGAGCATGCTACTCCCACTCTCCCACTTTCTCTTTCTCTTTCCCTTCAAAAACCTCCAAATAAAATCTGTTTTACTTTAAAAAAAAACCCACTGATCTCAAGATAGACTAGTTTTCTTTGAGTTACAGTAAAGCAGGGAGATTCTAGGTAGCTTAGGTCCTTTTGCAGTACTGGAGAAAGTGAGCAGGAAGGGCTTACCTTCAACACAAGAAGGCTGAGCCCGAGTGGTGCCAGCAACCTGTCCTGGGAAACAAGAACATTTAACGGTTTGTGATCGCTCTTCTATGCGGTTCTTGTTACAGCATCTGTGCACAGCAACCACCTCACAGGTCCCTTGTTTGACTTGGTGTTGACCTGGAAGATAACAGGAGAAGAAAATAGACCCAAGACTGTTAGGAGAAAATGAAAACATCAAAAACTTGAAAAATGTTAACTGTTACCCAACATTCCATAGGAAGAATCTTTATAACTTTTCTTTTTTATGTAACTTCAAATGTACTTATATCTGGCAAGAAATGTGCGAAAAAAAATTCTTCTGAATATGGGGTAGACAGAAATTGGATCCCAAGGTTTTTAGCCCATGCCTCAGAAATGAGAATTTGACAATATCTTAAGTGAAGTGGAAGTCCCAGTTCTACAACCATGAGGAACTAAATTCTGCCAACAACCAGACGGTACTTGAGAACACATTCTTCATCCAGAAACTTCCTACATCTTGGTTTTAACTCAGTGGTGAGACTCACAGGAGAATTAAATCAGACTAGCCCAGACTTCAATTATACAGAGCTAAGTCACTAAATTAGTGATAATTTTCCACAAAAAGCAACAGCAAACTAATTCAAGACCTTTTACTCAGATTCCTAATGTGACTCCGTTTAAAGTTATCATTCACTCACTTTCACATACTTTTTTGAGTCATTTGTGCAAAATCTCCAGACAAGTTATGCCTCTGAATTCTTCACTTTTTTCCAAAAACAAAGATAATATCTTACATAATTAACAAAATTAAAAAATTGCCATTGCTGCAAAGCTATTACATAATCTATATATAAATTTCATCAGTGATTTCAATTATGTTCCTTATATTGAGACAATTTACTCCTGCTCAGGATCCAACCTAGGAATCTACATTATGATCAGGTGTCATGATTCTATACACTTTGTTTGTCAGAAACATTCCTTGATTATTACATTTCTTGACCTTGACATCTTTAGAGTTGTTTTGTAGAATATAGCTCCTGTTATCTGATGTTTTATCTTAATTATATTTAGGTAACAGACTTTTGGCAGAATGTTCCAGAAGTCACACTGATGTCTATGCATCATTATCAGGAGGCACCTGGTGCCCATTTTGTCATAACTTTTGCCTTCAAAAACATGGTCACCAGGAGGATTACTCCATGGCTTAGAGGCCAGCTGGGCATTCTAGGGGAAAGGGTAACTCAGATAGAGAAGGGAGCACCAAATAAAGGGTGTTTGAAGGATCCTCCCAGGATGGGAGATGCATGTTGAAAGTAGACTGTGGACCGAACATGATTGCCACTCAATGCCTCTTTTGCAGACCATAACAACCAAAAGGAGAGAGAGAACAAAAGGGAATGCCCTGCCACAGAGTCAGGGTGGGATGGTGGGGATGGGGGTGGGAGGGATACTGGGATCCACGGTGGTGGAAAATGGGCACAGGTGGAGGGGTGGGTATTTGATCATTGTATAATTGAAACCCAAGCACAAAAATTTGTAAGTCTACAACTGTACCGCATGGTGTTTCACTAATAAAAATTAAGAATTAAAAAAACATGGTCATGGTGGTCTCTGTCAGGTTTCTTCACTTGTAATGGCGTAATTTTCCCATTTGTGACGAATAAAGGGATATGGATTGAGAGTGTGCACACCCCATTCTTCAAGCTTTTACTGACACCCATTGATGATTCCATGTAGATAAATTATCGTATGATACAAAACTGATTCTGTGTTCAAATTATCACATATTTGGGCAGGAAGAGATGTCCCAAACTAATAGCAGAGTCATTTTGAGATAATACCATAATCTCAGATCTTACTAAAAGTCTGATTCAAAATATGTCCTAGACATACCTTGAAATTTAATCTTTTATCGTTTTTCTCTAGTGAGTTCTGATTATTTTTAGTGGGGCATCGGATTTAGAAACCAAGTTCCCAGCAGATATGTTTATTCATTGTTACTAGAAAATGATTTGTTGCCATTTTAACCAGTATATCTAGAAAGCATAGATGTACAACCTGACTTCACACTGATATCCCCAACTCTATTAAATATATTAAATACACAATTCTATATGGGTATCTTCCATCAACAAAAAATGAGAAACCTGGCATCCACAGTGCTAAAAGAAGTTTCATTTTGGAAAAGTGTCTTTCAGTAACAAAAACTGATCAGAGTTAGCTTAACTCAAAGAAAATTTATTGGAAGATCATTAGTATATTGCAGACAAAGGGAGAGAATTTAGTATTAAGAAGCTTTAATTGCCACATTTTGAGTAGAGTCATTCTCATGAGTTGCCCTGAGTGAATAAATCTACTTATTGAGTTGTCATTTGGCTCAAGGGCATATTAGCTGTACTAGTCGATTTCCAAAAGGGACTCTCATCATACCTGCCTTCTAGTTGCCCTTATCTCTGAGCAGCCCTTTCCTACACTGCACTGGAGTTAGTCTTTATGACCAATCGCATATAGCAGAGGTGTTGGCATGTCAGTTTCAAGATTCAGTGGCCACTCTGTGTTTCCCTTTGTTACCTGCCCAGGAAAGATGATTGTGTTGCATTGTTTCAACACTTGTCTGCCCCAGAGACACTTCATTTAGGAGACCCAAAAGAACATTAACAATATTTATTAAGAAAAAGATTCTGGGGTTGGAGCAATAGCACAGCGGGTAGGGCATTTGCCTTGCAAGCGGCTGACCCGGGTTCGATTCCCAGCATCTCATATGGTCCCCTGAGCACTTCCAGGGATAATTCCTGAGTGCAGAGCCAGAAGTAACCCCTGTGCATCGCCAGGTATGACCCCCCCCAAAAAAAGAAAGAAAAAGATATTCTGAGAGATGTTCAGAGGAGTCTAGCCTGAGAAGTGAATAGCCCCACCAAACATGTGTGAGTTTTTAATCAACCATGTTTGTTTTTAATTTGAAGCAGCCTCATCATTTTCTCTCTGACGTAAAGCTTAATAGAAGCAAAATCTTCGTATCAGGTAGTCATATCTCTCAGGATGAGAGACCCACTGGAGGGGCCCGAGTGATAGGATAGTGGGTATGGTATTTTGCCTTGCAGAGGGCCAACCTTGGTTAGATCCTCGGCATCCTATAGGATCCCCCAGCACCACCAGGAGTAATTTCTGAGTGCAGAGCCAGGAGTAACCCAAGAGTATCACCAGCTGTGATGCAAGAAGTCAAAAATAAAAATAAAAAAGATTCACTGGAAAGTAGCACCATCTGACTCTCACAATGCTTTATGTGTAAAGAATTCTCTGTGGGGAGTTGGGTTATTTTTTCCTGGGGCAGGGGCCTTTGCTACTCCAGGGTGCTTTGGTTCTGTGCATTTTCACTAACTGGGTTAGAATTCTAGAGATCTCTAATGTCAATCTTTTCTGGGTCAGCATTTTAGAGATCTCTTGCAAAAAAAAAGATCTTTCCTCCCCTGTTCATATCTGACAAGGAACTAAATGCTGTGTGAACTAAATTCTTTGGGCTCCTTAAGTGAGTGTAAGCAGGTTCCCTCACACACTGAGTCAGCATTGGTCTATGTGTTGATGACATACATCAATAGAAGTGATGGTTTATCACTTCCACAGATCACAAATCACACAAATTATCCTGTTATTCGTCGATTGCCTCGAACAGGCCCCAGTAACGTCTCCTTCATCCTAGCCCTGAGATTATATTCAAGGCTCTTTAGGAGAATGAGACCCATCATTGTTACTGGTATTTGGCATATTGGCTACGCCACGGGGAGTTTGCCAGACTCTGCCGTGTGGGCAGGCTACATTTGGTAGCCTGCCAATTTGTCCAAAGTAAGAATGAGATAATAAGGTGTCATAATAAGATGTTGCACGGCCGCAAATGCAGCCGCGCAGTTCCAGGAACTGGTTTTATAGTCTCCGAGTCTTGGCCGCTGATGGGATTACATGGCGCCAGGGGGCCAGTTGGTGGGTGTGACCCCCCGCCTACTGGAATTTGGAGGATCTGGGTGGAGGATGTTCGGCCCAAATCCGAGTAGGCTTGGAGATCTCGGCCCCGGAACCCACGTGACTTTGTCCCTCTGCCAGTACCTTCATGTGTGCGGAGAGTGGTCTCAGCATGGTGGTGGCTGGTCCTGGAGGTCTTTGGCTGCCGGAGCCCTGGTCAGGGCGGGGAGGAAAGCTCAACCTGCTCCCCTCTAAGGGGCCCCGGCGGCAAGGACAGTCAGGCGCGGGGGCAGGAGACTGCACTCTTTTCTTCCGGGAACTGGTTTTTATAGTCTCTGAGTCTTGGCCGCTGATGGGATTACACGGCGCCAGGGGTAACTTCCACAGATAGTTATAAAAGACAGTGGTACACAACTTGGTTTCTCATTCAAGAAACCCATGCTCTGGGTAGCTCTGTGGAGAGGCCCTTGTGACTGGTAACCAAAGTCCACTACCATTGGTCACATGAGTTAGTTTGGAAGTCAAGCATAGAGTGTCAGTCACTTATTCAGCTATTATAACCCCAGTAAATAGCTTAGCCACAATCATATGAGAGACAGTGGGTCAGACGATCAGCTGTGCATGTTGGGATTTCTGATGTTTAGAGTTAGTGTGAAGTAATATATGTTGATTATTTTCTATTTCTAAGATTTTGTATTATTTGTTACACAGCAATAAATAACTAATATACCAACCCTAGTTATACTGCACTGGAGCTACTTACCTTCCCTCTTATAGAAATTATGTCAGAACAAGATTGCAAGGCAAATTTTAGAAATTGTTAATGTCTAAAATTTGCCTTGAAATCTTATTTAAACCTCTTTTGAAGTACTCCTGAGCACCCTGATAATATTCAACTACTGTATTTACATATAAATTGTTCTGTAAATTATTAGCAATCTCTCCTACTTATTAAAAAGGTTTTCCTAAGAATTCACATGGTGAATTTTTACTTGGTTTCTGTTTGATATGATGTGTATGCTTCAAAACAAGAAAAATAGTTTAAAAGCACTCTATAACTAAGAATTTCTATACATAACAACAAGCCTTTCACAAAATAATCTCTTTATGATTCTCAAATTTTTTCCTGTTTCCCGTCATATTATTACTGTATTTCACTGCAGAGCCAAGACAAATTTTATGCCAAATTTTAAAAAGTC